ATAACTGGATGGTATCTTTTGCAGAAGTGCCTGTTAGTTAAATCTAAACTTATTGGGTGATTATTTTTAAAATGTCTGTTTTCTCATGTGCTACTGATTTGCATAGTCCCAGGAATTTGATTTGGAATCATTTTTACCATTTCCCTACATGCAGGAAAACAGCATGAAAAAGGTAAACAGCATGATGTTTAGTCCCTATAAGGAAAGAAAAAAAAAAACAATTACCTTTACGCAGAATTGTAGATTTTCTTGGACTGAAATGACTGCAGACATGCTGACCTTTGCAAATAACAGGTGGGCTGATTCCAGACACAATCCTTCACACATACTTCCTATGAAATGCTGTCAAAATGCCTATATAATCATCACATGAAAGATGCTAATTACTCAACACCTGAACTACAGAAGAAAATAAAAAAAGTTCACACCTTTTCTGTCATTCTCATTGAAAGCATGTCATGTGAGATTTGTATAGAGCTGGTGAGTTAATATTAAAAAGATGTTTATTTGAAGTCACTCTGCACGAAGTAACTTCTCTCATTCATGTCAATATATTTAAGAACATTAACAAAGTGAACATTGAAACTATAATATTATAATTCTTCTTGTCCTATTCCTTAGTTAGCATGTATGTTACACTCTGTCAATACATCATAAATAATGAACTATTCTATTTTGATCATGTGGAGGGATGGAAAAGACATATCAGCAATGCTACTTGGTTTCAGTGAGAAAATAAAAGAAAGAAAGAAGGGAAGATAGAAGAGGGTTTTAACACTCTGAACCGACCATTTCAGTAAAATAGAAAAAGTTGTCAATTTCAAATCTTTTCATTGTTAAAGTTGTTAAGCTCAAATATGTAATGATGCAATAGGGGAATTTCTACAAAATGAGAATTTCTACAGATATTTTATTGTCTTAGAACTTGCCATGAGCTTACTTAATCATTAATTTAAGAATTAAGATTCATCAGAAAATTCATCCAAAATAAATAAAGTTAAATAAAACCATGCTCACAACACAATGCTACTTCCAACATGAAATACATCTTTTACTTTCCATTCTAAATCAGTTGCTATGAGCACATTGTGTATTTTAACACAATATTAAAATTTCAGTTGCAGTTGTAAAAAGAAGCCACAAGAGACTGGCACATATATAAAAACAATACCCTGTCTGGTGGCAAAAGTTGCTAGTGGCACCATGGGTGGCAGTACTACCTTAGCCACTGAAACTGTGTTACCTCCCCTGGTTGGTGGTTGAGAAGGACAGGGTATTGCATGTGCTTTCACCCGTATGTAGAGAATTCAAATAGGAAAACTATGAACTTTTTATGGGTATTTCTAGTGTATCTAATTGGGAAGAATTTATTTGTCTGCTCACTGTATAGTTTTAAAATTTGGTAATCATAATTATTGAACCAACAATTAACATATTTTTGCTCATCATGGGTGAATTCATTATTTATAGTAATTTTATTTTTTTTAATTTTTGTGTCAACCTTTCTCTTTTATTATTTATTACTCACTGAAGCAAGTCCTGTTGACATTTTGGCTACTTCCTTCTCAGGTAAAACACGGATTATCTGCCCTTGGCAGAAGTTGAATCAGCAAACAATGTTTTCCCTCCACTTTTGTTTGTAAAAACAAGCTACAAAATAAAGTCTAGACATTTACCTTTATAAAGTTCCTGAAGGAACAAAATGGATTGTTATAGAAAAGATTTCCTTTTATCTTTCATTTTATATACATTGTCTTGACTGATGCCAAATTGGTCGGGTTTTGATCCTGACTTAAAACAATCGATTGCATAGCCACACTGTGATACAGTGGCATAGCCACATAGCTGTGATACAGTGAAATAGGCTTGTATGTGGATGACTATATATATACACACACACACACACATATATATATATATATATATATATATATATATATATATATATATATATATATATTGCTGTCAACATGAACACTGTCCATGTCCATGACTAAAAATGAAACTTGACAAATATAAATAATAATTAGAAATTTTTAATGGACAATAAAGATTTCAAAACAGACATTTCCAACACTATCCAATCCTCTTCCCACTTAACCATGATTTTCACCATCTACTTCTACCCATGTACAGAGATGCACATCACTGCTTAGGTGCCTCTCCAGCTGGTTATGGTCAGGCTGCTGAGAAACAAATCTGTTGATACCAAATGGGATATTTACTGTAAACTGTCATAATTCACCAAGAATACACATGTTAACACCACAATTATACACTTGTTAACACCACCAATCAATTAAGGGCTAAAGCAATGAGGGTTATTCCTGGTGTAGCATCCAAGAATTTATTCCATTTTTTTTTTAATCATTTCACCCCAAGCAAGGTCATAATGCTGCTAAGACACAAGGGATGACTAGGAGTGAAAGAGAACAAGAAGACTTTAGAAGAATCTAACAGAAAACAAGGGATAAACTTCTACTCCTGTTCAAAAGACCAGGGAGGAGTGTGCTTCAAAAATAGGTTGGAAGCACACACAGGGTAAAGAAAGGGGGAAGGTAGTATGAGTCCAATAGGTTCACTAGGCAAAACAAATCTACACTTCTCGTCTTGATCTCCAATATGCCACTCACCATCCAGAACAAAAAGCTGAATGCCTGTTAAATGAGCATACCAGGTTTTTATACATCTGACCCTGCCAACACTTAGCCAATGAGTGCCCAAAACCAGCTAATAAAAATGGCTACAAGCAACACCATCACAACCACCATTAACATGAAGTGCTGTCAGATTCACCATCTCCACACTCCCTTGAAAAACATGTGTGTGACTCTGGCCCTCTACTACAGACTGTAAACTGGATAATATGATAACTAATCTATTCTTAGGGAAGGAAAATAAATTTAAAAAAATTAAATTTCATTGTTTAGGCAGAAACATTAGACATCTATAATTGAAGTAGATTTTAAAAGGAATCGGAAACCCAATCCTGAACAAAAAACAAAGGATGAGCCTCAGCATCTTTTCAAAAGATCAAAGTGGAGTGTAAACCAGACAATAAGTGAACCTATTACTATTTGAATACAGGTGTCTAATCACAGAATTAGTAATAGAAAAATCAATATCAAACTGTAAACTAAAATGAATCTTACCGAGAAACACTAAGGAAGGAAAAGGACAGAAGAATTTCTACCCTTAAATGAAAATTAATTCTTATTAATATTTTTTTGGTACATACTTGTGGATTGATGAAGGATCCTGGATTCAATAAAGGAGTCAATGGTCAAAAAAATTGGGGATCCCTAATGTAGGCACTTGCAGAAACATTTTCATACTTAGAACTAATCTCAGGATTTTTCATCATGGCAGCAGTAAAAATATGGCCAAAATGTGACTGGCTGGTAAGACTTTTTACAAAAATGTAATCATGGAATAGAATTTTTTTTAAGGTTCATACAGATATTTTTCATATTCTGACTGAACTTTTTAATGTTCAAGTTGTTAAATAGTTATCTAAATTCTGAGTTAAAGTATTTTCATTATTAATTTTTACAACTTTTCTTACTTTTATTTGTTGCTTTCATCCCAACATTCTAAATCGCAAACCTACCAACTGCTAAAGTGAGCAGAGTGAAATTGAAATGAAAAAGTCATCTATAATATAACTGTGGTTATTTTTTTTCATGTAGAAGCAAGTGAGCCAGAGTGGCTTGCATGTGATGCAAAGGAAAATAAAGGTCTTACCTCGGCATGTGGCATTAGTGGTTTTTCTCCTTGGAAATGGCATTACTCTCCTGTCTGGTTGTTCCAGCAGTATGTGCGGTAACAAGGTTTTTTTGCACAGTTTGGCATGCTTTGACCAATAGCAAATCATGTGATAATTACCAGGACTGGAGGAGGCTATTTGCCTGGGTAACTGAGAATAAAAGTGAAGAATGCTGAGTGTTTGGTTGGCCGTGATGTTGGCCTGATAGAAAAGAGCTGAAGCAGTGAGAATGGGAAAACAGGTTTATGTTTTGAAATGTACAAACAGTAAGAATGGTGGATTGAACCAGTGGTATCTTGAATTGTACGAACAATGTCCGAGTAATAGAGACTTATTTAAACTACAATAACTGAAAATCATGTTCCATATCTCAGGAGTTCATCTGATTGATTTGGTTTCTTTTGTTTTATAGCATACCAACCTCAATGGGTTATTTAATGCCGACAAGATTTTTATTGCTGTTAATATTTTTTTTCAAAAATGTTTTTCTGGTATTTTTTTTCAAAAATGTATTGTTGGCTATTTTTTTTCAAAATATGTATTGCTGGTATTGAAACCTTTTTTTTACACTTTCATAGAGTTTGACCCCAGTTTGGGGTTAACTATTTGCCCATAACTGAAACCCTAACAGGTGCTACACCCTGGGTCAAGATAGACCAAGGAACACCATCAATTAAGAGATAGTTCCACACCTCTTAAAACCTCCTGATCAGAGGCCTTGCTGCCAGATGTACTTTATCATCATACCTAGGACGTAGAGTTCATTTGAAGCAATCTAATGTTTTAACAGGGCTAAATATATGTTAGTTCTTCATGTTATACTTGCATTTGCTCTCTGGTTGTAGAAACTGTGTAAAGTAAGTCTGTGATGACAATGGTGAAAACCAAGAATTTCTGTTCTTTGTACAATCTGTCAAATAAGAAAATAGGCCTTGAAATATAGTAATTATTTGCACTTCTCTCACAGTCTTAACCAATCACAATTTTTCTTATCCTGATAAAATAACTAATGATTTAGATTGATTGATAGAATCATTTTCTATGGCTTATCAAGATAATAATTATTTAGAGATTACTTATTAACACATTAGCTAAAAGGAGAAGAGGTGGATTCATACCTTTCCAAATATATTTGCACATAAGTGAATATAATGAATCCAACTAGAATTGGAACTTGGCTCTCAGCTTAAAAATTCTGAGCCATTATCTATTACACCACTCACAAATCCAAATTTACAGTACCTGGTATTCTCAAGTGGTCACCTATCTAGGTACTGACCAAACTTAATGCTGCTTAACTTCTGTGATCATATAGGAGCCAAGGTTTCAATGTAATATGGCCATAATCAGGATTGTGTGGATTAGGAGGTAGTAATGCATTGTGAGTTGTGATGTGATTTTTTAACCTTTTGATTTGTTCTCCTGGTATTTTCTTCTGTTTGACTGATCCTTCTAATTACACCTTCAGACATAAGTTTTTTGGATCTAACCCTCCTTGTTTTTGTTTGTGCTATTCACCATTATTTTGGATTTCTCAGAGTTGACCTCCATTCCATATGCTCCTGCTCTTTCAAAAAGTTTGTTGGTCAAGTCCTGGAGCTCGCTGTTACCACTTACTATGAGGTCAATGTCATTTGCAAAACGTCATCTTGTCTAAAGATGGTACCTGCAACTTGAAAATCTGCACACGGATTGCTGCAGCCATGGCAGCAATAGCCGAATTGGCAAGAATATGGAGGAGAAAATCAGCTTTCAAACAAAGTACAGACTATACAAATCACTGTTAGTTTCCATTCTCCTATGTGGATGTGAAATGTTGACACTTTTGGGAAAAACAGAGAGAAGGATCCAAGCATTTGAAAAAAAAGTCATGTGAAAATTCCTTGGCATCTTCTATTGGGAACATAAAACCAATGAGTTTGTGCAGAAAAGGGTTAAAAGTTTTGTGGGCCACCAGGAACCTCTACTTACCACTGTCAAATAGTGAAAAATGGCATGGTTTGGACATATTACAAAGCATGACAGACTGTGCAAAACCATCATGCAAGGCACTATTGAAGGTGGATGTAGCAGTGAACACCAGTGTAAAAACTGGTTGGACAATATCAAACAATAGACAGGTAAGACTATACCAGAACTGCTGATGGCTGTTGTTGATTGACCATTGTGAAGAAGATTTAGTGTGGCTTGATGTGTCCAAGTATTTATAATCAATGTGAGCCACATGATAGGCTCAAGAACACATGACCAGATTTTGGCGGTAAATTAACTTTGAACACAACTGAGTGGGCGTTGTAACATCTTTTGCATATATTAGCCAATCAGAAGTCAGAAATTTAGTCGACGCTTCTGTGATCCATTTGGCATTTAGTTTGCACAAAATTTGTCATCGAAAGAAACTATTACATAGAAAATGCATTGAAATCTTTTTCGACCAATAGTATTCGCTAAATCAAAAATAATAATAATAATAATAATATAATAAAATCAAATAGAAACAGAAACAGAATGCTACAGATCCCCCCATGATTACAAAAGTTATGGGGTTGATATTGATGTCACTTTGAAAAGGGTAACAATAAAAGAGATGTGTGGCATAAATTAAAAGAGAAAGTTGGAGTAAGTGAAGATTTTAAAAATAATGAGGGAAGATGTCAATTGAACTTGACTTAATGAGGTCAAGATTGAAGTGTTTAAAGAAGCATCCATGCAGAATTCTGTTCTCCAACATTGAAGTTCTTATGAAAAAAGCAAAGTTGAATTTTCTCCTTAAAGTCCATGTGGTCAGTATAAGCATCACCCAGTTCTCTTGCTTCTCTTTCTCTCTATATTAATAATCTGCCTAAGAATATACACAGATCTTTAGTGAATATCTGCAAAGATGATACAATAATGAATGGCTGCCCCTCCAAATATCTACATGAGCAGAGCTTGGCAACTGATCTCATATCAGAACCTCAGAACATCTCAATAGATGAATAACTGGCTTGTAACATTCAGTACCTCAAAACCCAAACTAGTAACATTCCACCATCTTTAAACTGAGAAGTATGAAATTAGAACAAACTCTTTGAGTTGTTTTTAATACAAATTCACCCAATACAAGGCTCAAGTGCCACTTTTAAAATGATAATAATGAGTGAGATATGTGACCTGAATTAAAAGAGAAAGTGGTAATAAGTAAATATTTCCAGAATAAGGAAAGACAATAATTAATTCTTGATTTAATGAGGTCAAAATTGACATGTTCAGTGAAGCATCCTTACAGAATTCTGTTTTGCAATGTGGCAGTTCTTTTTTAAAAGCTGGGTGTAACTTTCTCCTAAAAATCCATGAGCAGGACTATTGTGATGAACAGGCATTCTCTCAAGGAAGCTCCTTTTCTTGAATGGCTATTAGAATTCAAGTTTACCCCAGATCTCAAATGAAACTCATATGTTCCGTAACTCAGAATGCTGGGTAAATGTTTGGTTCCTTGTCCCACTGCAGCAAGTACCTGATTCCTGTAACAAGAGCCAGATCAGATCAAAAATGGAGTACTGCTGCCATATCTGGGCTGGAGCTACCCAGTCCTCACTTTCCAGACTTGATAGAATTCAAAAGCATCTATGTTGCCTTGTTAATTATGAATTGTTTTCCACCATACAACCCCTTTCCCTCAGATAAAAAATCACAAACCTCATCACTTACAACCACATCACGTTGAAACCCAGTTCCTGTACAATCACTGAAGTTAAGTAGTGTTGAGCCTGGTCAGTATCTAGATGGGTGACCACTTGGGAATACCATTTGCTGGTATGTGTGGATGGTGTAATGGATAATGGCTCGGAATTGTTATTCGAAGAGCTGATTTCCAATTTCAGTTGAGTTCATTATATTCACCTCGATGGAAACACTCTTGGGAAAGATATAAATCCAGCCCTTCTCCCCCTGGCTATGTGTTAATTAGTAAGACTTGTATCAGTAAACAATTATTATCTCCAGAAATAAAATGAAATTGCATACAAAACATTTAGATTTTAGAATTCATCATCATCATCATCATCATCATCATCATTATTTGACCATTGTTGAAATCATTGAACCAATGCAAACAATCCTTTCATTAGCTGTATAGTATGTGCTATACCAGAGTTATATACAATTTTGAATTCCAAGTTACTTTCTCCTAGACCAGTTGCAACCCAAGGCTATAGGACCCAGTCTGTCCTGCTATTTTTATCCATAGCTGGGGGAGAAGAAGAGGATTTATACCTTTCCCAAGGATGTAAGTGAATGTAATGGATCCAACTGGAATTCAAACTTGGCTCCCAATTCCTCAGTCCAAGGAGGCTATCCATGATTCCACCAGGCCTCCTTAATTTTGGCTAAAATAAACTCTATATGCTGCTAAACAAAAACAATCAACTAACTATCCATGACAAATGGTCTGATTAGTTATGTTCCTTTGTTCGACCAGTTCAGACCTTCACAGCTAGGATCTGCTATTCCACATACATTGAAATGAACCATTGTATTTCGCAAGTAAGAAGCAAGTCCTACTCAGACAACCTCTTCCCAAGAACCACTGTTTTGCTGAACAGCAACCCTTTACCTTGAGTGGCTTTTGGTCCTTGTATTGGGCAAACATTAGTTAAAAAAAATACTTCTGTGAAAGTAGCATAGTGTGTCCTAGAAGTAAAGGTCTGAACTGGTGGAAGTGAAAAATGGAGCTCATCTGAATATTTGTCATTGAAATAGTGATAGAGTAGTGATTGGTTTGCAGTCTTGTGTCTGTAGGGAAAGAGGCAGCAGAGGGGAGAACAACTCATTCTAATAACGATTTACACATCACAGAGTTGAGGTGGTTGTTTTCTCTTTTTTTATTGCATTACATTAGTGTGGCTTTAGAACACACAAAGTGCATAATCATGTACTGAATACATAATTTAAATAGCCTTTCTTGATTATTTATGTTAAATTAGCTGTATGTTGTTTTTGGAAAAAATCTAAAGAAAAATAATAAGCTGTCTATATTAAAGGCATAATGCAAAACACCAATTTGCTACTGATAATAAAAATATGCAAAACTCAGCTGGTAACAATGATTTTGTTGGCACCGACAGTTTCCAGATAGAAACAATTGTCTTTGGTCAGCAGTTTATGCTATATTGGAATTGTACATTCCTGCCTTGTAACATTTTTTATTTTCTTTCATTGACTTGTCTTCCTTAGTTGAAGATTTTCAGTAACATTTTTATTTCTTAAATGTTATTACAGTACATGATTGTGTATAGTGTGAGGTTTATGAGCAGTTTTTTTAAGCAAAAATATAGGGGGTTGCACCATATAAAGGTAATTGTTTTCTAAAGTTTAAAAAGCATGAATTTTTGGTGAAAGGTTGCACTATACACAAGTAAATTTTTTCTGGAGGGGTTAAAAATCATGCCAAAAAATTCAGGGGTTGCACTATGCATTAAATCAGCTTATATACAAGAATACACAGTACTTACTTCATGGTGTAAATAATCATGGCTCTCCACAGATTCTATATTTTTCAGATGCCTGTATTGCCATGACTACTAAAGAAATCGGGTAGAGTGATTTTCTGTTACCTTATCCACAGTTTTGGTTGATTGATTTTGTTTTATGGTATATCAACCTTATGTGTGTTATTTAATCTATTCATTTGTTTGTGAGTGAAAATTGGATTAACAATTTGGTGGGTAAATATAAATTATATAACAATACAGTCAGTTCTACTATTTAGCCCATAGTTTTAGGGATGAAAAGATAGATCCACAGTTTGGAATTCAAAGTAGTTTTTCCTTTTGAGTGGCTACCGCCAAAGGCTGGATAGACCCTGTTCTAGCTGTCAGGAGAACATATGGAGTTACACTTTCCTTTGAGCATTAGTACAAAAGTGAACAATGTCCTAGGCTGGAATTTATACTCAGATTGCTGGTTCTGTTTTCTGTGCCAATAAACATTATACTTCTGAATATCTCTGTAGTGATAGACTGATTACCAAATCTTGCTTCATTTACCTTTCATCTTATTATTTCATTCTCACTTTCATGTCATTTTTATGATTCTTGAAAATGTTCTACAAATTAATCAGTTTTAATCAAAATAAAAACCTCTTTTAATTGAAAATTATTATGATATCTCTCCTGAGTGGATATAAAATTCAAATGAACTTTAATTATCTCATAATTTATGGAGAAAGATTAAAATTACACAGCTGCTGAAACATATTTCAAATCATCAATCTGCAAAGTGTCAGCTTTTAAGCACGTCTAGGTTTTAGGAAATTATATACTCTTCAAGTAACACACTTTTAAATAGAACTGAGTATTTTTCTG